CCGGAAGTGTGGACTCGCTGGGCCTCCCTGGACCTGCTGACTCCCAAGGGCCCCAGAGACTTCCCGAGCACACTACAGATTGGGAAGAGCTGCTTGAGAGCTTCAAAACTGCACACGCAGAAACCGTCATGACACACCCAGCCCTGGTCACAAAGCAAAATTCAACACAAGGACCATCCACCTTCCACGCTCACTCAAGAGAGCTCGGCTACTAACACAGTACGTCAGAGCCTTGTCACAGGTATTTCAACTCCAAGGCACTGTCAACCATGCATACCCAAGGAGGAGTCTACGGAGGGTGACCCCTGGAAAGTTCTACTATAATTACATATGAACATTTCTACTTCTCAAATTGCTTTTCCTTACTTGTAATCCTCTGTGAGGGCTGGAGATAAAGAAAATCTAAACTCAAACCTATCTGTCTTTCATTTGGAAAAAAAAAAGATCAATGCTTTGCGGAAGGCAACAGGAAGAAGTCTAGGATGTTACGAAGATGACCTCCATCATATATGCGAACTTACAGCACTGTTTTCTAAATGTGAAAATATCAAAACTATGTTTCATAGCTCTGTAACTATCATTGATAAGACAGTATTAACAAGTTTTATGTTTCGGACCTGTAAAATACATAAATCGTTCATTGGTCACCACAAACAAAAATCATAAATTGTCCTTCTGCTCCTTCACTTTAATATATGTCTCCTTTATTTCACCTTCTAAAGCCACTTGTTGCCACGTCAGTAGAAATGGCACGGCTAGACTATGGCTTCTAAAATTATCTCTATTTCAACCAATAAATTAACTCTCTTCAGAGTTAATAACTAAAATTTGAACTTTATCAACATAAAGGTTAAAAGTAACAGTTTTCTACAGTAGCAAAGTATAAACCATTTCTGTAACGCTTTAAAATTTTTCACTATTGCAACACTTCACAACTGACAGGGGACCACGGCCTTTATGGAAGTAAACGCAAACACACGCCCCATCCTTGGCGAGAGAAGCTACGAGATGGACCTGCAAACAACCTGTGTACGGAATATACTCTGCAGGCAACATAAAACGAATGGCTAAAATATGCTCAGGCCGTATTCATTCTTTCTTCCAAAAACAGCATCTAGAGCTACAGTTTGAAAAGAAGAAAAACTAGCAAAAGATACATTATGACTTGACCAAGGTCCAACACCAAACAAACCAGGAGCACAGAATGTGCATCTTCTGAGTTTGTCTGTTTGGATCATTAAACAACTCTGAAGAAAGCCATGTAACTCACCACTTAAATCAATCAGGCAGGAATCAAGTTCTTCATCAAAAAGTTATTTATGCATTAATGCTTTATGTTTTTAAACATTAAAATATATAAAAATTTTATGCAAAAATTATAAAAATTAATGGATAAATGGAACAAATGTTTGCACTTTATGAATTAAAAAGTATCATATAATCCCAAATATCTCACAGAAGATTTCTTGCAATTCAACACAATTGGCAAATACTTAAATTACTATATATAAAACAATCTTATTGCTTACCCTTAAATTCAAAATCACTTTTAATTTCTTCTCTTATGTCAACAATATCACCTGCAGCCTGTTTTAGAGAAAAAAATCACGTTAACAGTTTGAATCCTCAACGTACGAAGATTATTATAAACGTGTTCCTACGACAGAAGAAAGGTGTCTGAAAGCATCTGAAACCTCACTGATTTGCTCCTTGGCTGCAAGATTTTTTTAAACATGAAATTTTTTCTAAAAAAATAAGACACTGAAAACAATACTCACATCACTCATTTTCTGCAAATCTTCTGTAAATTCAACTCTGGATTCAAAATTTTTCATCACTTTTTTTAAATCATCTATTGTTTTTCTAACAT